ATATAAAGGTTAGAGCCTTAATATATTTAGGATGAAAATATACGGTAGCAAAAATATACCCAATAATTACTTAGGTATCAAAAAATTTCAATTTTTTTACATAAAGTGCACAGGCTAAAGGTCAAAAGCTAATGACTAAAACCTGAATAACAATTTGTAAATTAGTGAACAAGGACCTGTTCGTACATAGGAAAGAGTGTTCTGAAATTAGACCCTACACTATAAGAGCTTTGCAAAGTGTGACTATAAAGCAAAGTACACTGTAATTTGTGGTAGATTACTCAAGGGAGAGACTGTTTTAATCATCTTTGCACCCATGTAGTGCCTTATGAATTAAAATGAAAAAACATTTGTTAAAACCAACATAGACATTTAAATGTTGTCCCATTTAAAATAAGCCACTCTGCAAGACTGACACACTATAATAATAATTTCCTTCTTTCAAAGAGCATGCAATTGTTCTCTACTATCTATGGCAGAAAGTTAAAACTCTCTAGTCTGGGATTCAAGGGCCCTCACAATTCTCCTTCCTTTCTTAAAAGTCTCATTTCCCACTTCTTTCCTTCAGGCATCTTATCTGCCAGTCAAATTAAACTTCCTGATTTCACACTCGCATGCCTCTGTACCTCTCTGGTCATTTGGCAATCTCTTATGCCATTTATCATTTTCTTCCTTGCATTATATCTTATACATAGCTTGTTTCCCTTATTATATTATAAATTCCTCATGTCAGAGACTAGGTCCTATGTGTCTTTAACTGAATTTTATTACCTAGCACAAGGCATGGTACATGGCAGGCACACACACACAAAAAACATCTGTTACAGAGCTCAAATCTGGAAACTGCTTTTTGACAAGCCATAGAAGAAAAATGTTTCATTAATTTATAGCAAGGTTCTTAAATATAAGCAGGCATTGAAAGTACCAGGGAAACTTGTTAAATGTGCAAATTCTTGGTGTTAGTTGTTACCAGAGGATTGAATACCAACGGGCAACTGTAACTATCTAACAAGGAATGAACTCCTGAACTACTGTTGAGAACAAAGAGGGCAAAAAGGTAGAAAAGGATCAAGAGGATAACAGGCATACTCCTGGCAATGGGTGTCATCATCAAACTCTCCCTTTGTAGGAAAGTCATTTATTGGCTGTTTTTCCTTGCATCTGACCTTAGACTTTTGAAATCAGGATGACAATATCTGTTTAAGACCCATTCACTTAAATGTACATAAAGACGCAATGATTATTTTTCTCAGAATACTTTTCAGATATGTACTGTATTTCAAAATGCACAATATATAGACTAAACCGTGGAAACTTTTTATCCAATAAAGCTGTTTGAAAAGAAAGTCACTATTCGTCCAGTGTTGGAAGATAAGCTCTGGTTATAAAGCGGGAAGGCACTGAGAGAACTAACATGTCCTCTTTAGATTATTTCAAACAGAGGACATGAATTACAGGAAGCGAGACTTCAAGTGGTTAAGAAGAAAAGAGTTTGCCTTTCAGAAGTTTACAAAATGCCAGTATTCTAAACTTCATATACTGAACTCCTCAGGATAGTCCGATATAGTACACACTATCTGTCACTTCTCTATCCATTTGGCAAAGACTACATAGAGACAAATTGTTACAGAGGCTCAAAAATGGAGACTTCTGGAAAAATGACCAAAGCCAGAAATAAAGTTTCACTAATTAGAAAACAAATAATTAAATGGCCAAACCCGAATGTTGTGTGATGCTGAAAAGAGATAGATTTCTAAAGCACACCATCTGTTTTACAGTTTTTTTATTTTGCTCTACTACAAATCTACTCAGTTGTTTTGCAATGATCTAGCCGCTAACTCATTTGCACAATTACTTTAGGCCAGAAATACTTATTGCACAGAATCATTTGAGAGTTCAACACATTCATAGAAGAGGGCAGTTGTAAACCATTTTTGAGTGAAGGCAATTTTTTAGCCCTTAAATAAAAAGAATTATTCCAATAAATAATTAGAAATTCCCAAAGGAAAATCACAGTGCTACCACTATAAATTTATGGTATCTAAAATCTATCGAGGACTCCAAGGTCACCATCAACTCCTCTGTCAGCCATTCTAATGAAAACTCATTCTCATCTTGACCTCTAGGCAGCATTTATCTTGGAGCTGACGGTTCTTGCTTTCTCAAACACTTTTCTCTCTCAACTTCCTTGGCACTACCCTCCTAACTTTCCTCTTTCCTCATCAGCTATTCCTTTTCAGCCTCTATTGCTAGCTTCTACTCTTCTAAATGTTGCAGTGTCTAAAGGCAGACTGCTGAGGCCTCTTGTCCTTTCTATCTTCATTTTCTTCCTAATTCATCTCTTCAACACAACAGCTTTACATGGCCTCTGTATACTCAGGATTCACCGATTTATATCTCCAGTTCATTCTTCTCCAGGTCCAGGCTCATACTTTCGATGATCTACTGGCAATCTCCACTTGAATGTGACATAGGCATCTCAAATTTATCATGTCCAGTGTAGAACCCTTTACTCACCACTCTTCCCCCAGGAAAAAAAAGTATCTCCTGCAGTCTTCCACATCTCAGTAAATGGTACTACCATCCAGCCAGTTGTTAAAGAAAATCTAAAATTCATCCTTGATTCCTCCCTTATCCTCATCCCTTATCTAATCCATCACCAAGTACTATCAAATATATCAAATATATGTCACATTTATTTCTCTTCAACTCTATTGCTACCACCTTGTCCAAGCCACCATCATTTCTCCACAATACTACTGCAATATAAGCATATCATGTATCTCCAGTACCTAACACAGTGTCTAATAAGTAAAAGATGTAAAATAATTTTCTACATAGATAAACATTACTTAGTAATATTCCTAAGTCTCTGGAATCTCCAGTTTCCATTCTCAGGCATTTTCTGACATACCTACAGACTTATTCTTTTACTGAATCATCTACTCATTCAGCCATTATTTACTGAGTACTGTATTAATTGGTATTAGGCTTAACTGCACATTTCACAGTATCTCAAAGATGATAGTCATTTGTTTCCTGTTCATCTAAAAATGTCTGGAAAAAATAAAAGACCCAATCAAAAAGTGGGCCAAAGAACTAAACAGACATTTCTCCAAAGAAGACATACAGATAGCTAACAAACACATGAAAAGATGCTCAACATCTCTCATTATCAGAGAAATGCAAATCAAAACCACAATGAGGTACCACTACATGCCAGTCAGAATGGCTGCTATCCAAAAGTCTACAAACAATACATGCTGGAGAGGGTGTGGAGAAAAGGGAACCCTCTTACACTGTTGGTGCGAATGCAAACGAGTACAGCCACTATGGAGAACAGTGTGGAGATTCCTTAAAAAACTGGAAATAGAACTGCCATATGACCCAGCAATCCCACTGCTGGGCATATACACCGAGGAAACCAGAATTGAAAGAGACACATGTACCCCAATGTTCATCGCAGCACTGTTTATAATAGCCAAGACATGGAAGCAACCTAGATATCCATTGGCAGATGAATGGATAAGAAAGCTATGGTACATATACACCATGGGATATTACTCAGCCATTAAAAAGAATACATTTGAATCAGTTCTAATGAGGTGGATGAAACTGGAGACTATTATACAGAGTGAAGTAAGCCAGAAAGAAAAACACCAATACAGTATACTAATGTATATATATGGAATTTAGAAAGATGGTAATGGTAACCCTGTATGCAAGACAGCAAGAGAGACACAGATGTATCGAACAGTCTTTTGGACTCTGTGGGAGAGGGCGAGGGTGGGATGATGTGAGAGAACGGCGCTGAAACATGTACATTATCATATGTGAAACGAATCCCCAGTCCAGGTTTGATGCGTGATATAGGATGCTCAGGGCTGGTGCACTGGGATGACCCAGAGGGATGGGATGGGGAGGGAGTTGGGAGGGGGGTACGGGATGGGGAACACATGTACATCTATGGCAGATTCAAGTCAATGTATGGCAAAACCAATACAATGTTGTAAAGTAAAATAAATAAATAATAAAAAATAATAATAATTAAAAAAAGAAGTCTGGAGGTAGGCAGTCAAGGGCTGGTGTGGCAGCTCTATACCCTAAGAGCCCTGGTTTCTAGAACCGTGCTGCTCTGCTATCCTGTTTATATTCCACTTTATTATCTAATACGGCTACTCAAACTCCATTCATCGCAGCTGCAGTGCAGTCACGAGAAAAGAAGATGGATGTGAGGAATGCCATACTCCTTCCTTTTAAGGACACTTCCCAGAGATTACTCTTACCTGCACTTAGATCTCATTGACCAGCACTGTAACTAGCAATGATAGGGATAACTAGCAAAGAAGACTAGATAAAAAGTTACCAGTGAAAAGTCAGGATCCTCATGACCACAGAAGAAAGAGAGAATAATTATTGAGAGGTAGTAGCATCCTCTTCCAAAGTTCCTGTTGTGACCAGGTAATGTTCCGGGTACAGGGATACAAAGATCGCTTAAGACATAGGGTTACTGCTCGAGGCATTAGTGTAATGGGGGAAAGCAATATGCAAATAAATAATGACTCAAGATTTCAAGCCAGGCAACAGCCACTGTTAGAAGACCTTGGCTTTTCTGAGTCCCTGTAGATTCTCTGCGTCCAAAGAGCTGAAAGAGAAGTAGACTGTTCCAGTACTTTACACCACTAAACTATACAGACTGCTTCAACAGTCCACAACTTTAATAAAGGACATTTCTCAGCTCTATTCTACTGAACTTGATACAATAGAAAAGTTCATTTAAACCTCTATAAACACATGTAAACAACTGTGGTAGTAATTTTAACAGTTTGAAAATACCCATTTCAGAAATGTGTCAGCACTCAATAATTTTTTTAACTTGTCAGAAGATGAAACTAAACGACTGTTTTAAGACTATATATAGATTATAAGGCCAGATGAAAAGAAATAAGCAATGATAGTGTGCCAAAATTTTTTTTTAAGGGAGTAGTATTGAAACTTACTGTTAACCACTGGTTATCTAGCAGTTCCTTAGCTGTGAGTCTGTGAGCAGGGTCTACTTTCATAAGTTGTTTCAAAACACTTTTAGCTGCAAATAAAGGAAAAAAATCCTACCTTATATATCTCAACTATAATTAATATCACATGCTTTCCAATTTAGGATTAGGTCTATATGACACAAAGGAAACATATCAGTTATAGAATAAATATCATCAGTTCATATGGCTAATATTAAATAAAGTTTAAGGCCAAAAGTGAGGTTTTATTGCCTGGATTACCTGGTTTATAGTCTTCAGTAAAAATTAGCTATTTGATCAGAAAATTTCCTCTTCAATTTTTAGTATATTTTGTTTTTGTTTAAAGTTTCAACTATAAAAATCACAATGAAGATAGCACTATTTCCACAAGTAAATAGTTTTTATTTCTATAAGTAAATTTAATGGCTACTCAGAGATTTAAAGTATCTAAATTACTGGCTGGCTTTCTTATATTATGCATATTTGCCTTAATAAATAATAACACATCTATACTTACCACAATCACTTATGGAATTCCAGATTGAATTTTTAAAATGTAGTTCTCCCTTTTTTATTAGTTCAAAAAGCTTCTCTTCTGAACTTGCCATAAAGGGTGCTTTTCCACATAATCTACAGCAAAGGTAATCATTCTGTTTAGATTCTTTCAAATAATCAAAATAAGGCTATTAAAAATTAAGTTTCCACAGGACTTGAAAGCAGTGGTGCTTCATATTTAAGAAAAGGAGAGGAAGAGGTGGGAACTTCTCTGGATGTAGAAATGGAAGCAAAGGGGTTTTGGGAGATTAGTGTTAGGCTCTTGTATTCATTGGAACTTCCACATGTGCAAAGCTCTTCCAGGTGGGAAAACACTAAGCTTAATTGGGGTTAAAATACAGAAAGGTGTGTGAGTTTAGGTGCACAGTAATAGCAGTGGATAACAGAGGAGAAACACTTCAATGTGAGCAAGGGTAAGGTTATGCCTTAAGGTACACTGGACTTAACAGAAAGATACACTGAGTCATCACAGTCTAATGAGATTACTTCTTCTAGTGACCATGGAAGAATATTATCCATGGTAAAATGTTACACAAAGACTGGTGATGATGGTAAGAATGATCCTGGGGCCTACTGGCTCTGAGTCAAAATAAAAAGTCCATTAAAATAGCACAACTCTTCAAAAATTATATACAAAATGAAGAAAATCTGAAGGAGGAAAACCAGATGATGAATGTGACCCTTCAGTCTGGAAGGGTGAAAGCTGAGTACATGTAACAACCAACCTCAGTAAAGCCACGAGTAGTGTGTATACAGTAAACATGGACTTATTATAAATTCCATAGTACAGGACTATGAGTCTTTAGAACGTTTTAAAGGAAGTACTATGCTATACTTTACAAACAGCATGGCAAGAATATGCGTCAATAGGTGATCCAGTCCAAAACTGTGTGCTTAAAAGTTGCAAATGTTAGCCATCCTCTTAATTGTCAGTCCCAACATCTGAGGGCAATCCTGTAGACAACAACCAGATTCTCCCAATGACAACCAGACAGAAGTTGGACCTGGACTCATCACAGAGGCAACTCTAACTCTCTCTGTCTATTCTTCAGTTCTCAGGATTCTATTTTTCCACTTTATTACTGAAAGAATAAAATGGCATAATTCCATTACACTTTCCAAATGCTGGTCTGTTATGTACATAATTATAATGATTTCTAGGTCTCTTAACAGATTTTTACTGATTTTTTTAAGTTACATTTTTCTTAAATTTCTTTAAAAATCTTTCCCATGAACATTTTTTGAATAAGTTTAAATTTGATAAATATTCTACATGATAATGATTATGATAATAATGATTTTTCCAGTGTGGAGGGGGAGTCATTTTCATCCCAGTAGCTTATCGAACTAGGCTGGACAACAGAGCTTTTCGTTTACCAATAGGTTCTTGTTAAGCGATAAATATTAAATTGTTCTGCAAACTCTCATTTTAATACTTTCTCTTTCTCCAGCTCATTCTAACCCTTCTCGCTCTGATTCAATTTGCCTTACTATTATTTAGTTTTTAAATGCCATTCCAAAAAAAGTCAGAAAAATGGTCTTATGGGCAATTACTATTATAACAAGTACAGGCCAGCAAAAGCCCAGATCATTGAGTCTGTTAACAACCAGTGGTATGCACATTCACCGATTTCTTAGCTGCTCCTACACTGCCTAACATGCAACTATAGCTCAAGGGCTATGTTTTAAAAATTTCAGTTTTTTTCTGTCCTTTACAATTTTACTTACACAAAATGTATCTAATGGTTGGTCAATCAGCAGCACATGAAATTTTATGACAGCAATTTTCTGCACATTCAGAAAAGAGAATCCAAGACATGAAAAATGCCTCTTAAGGCTTTCTGATTATTTTCTGTTTCACAGGAATCAAAACAGCAAAAGATGGTGCCCATAAAGAGCATTTATATTAATTTCACCTTGAGAAAGTATGCTATCATTGTCCAATTAAGTAGCAATGAATCAGCGGTAACTGATAAACAAGAAACCCCTCCCCACCCCTGGAGAAGGTAATATGTTTGTGCCCTTGGTGAAGGAAACGATCTGTAAGACCACTGGGCTCAGATAGATTAATGAACAGGCACTGATTAGCTAAGTAAGAGTCTACTGTAAAGGAAAAAAAGATGTCTTTATTATGATATGCAGTCATGCTTAGAAGCAGAAAAATTAAAACTACATCTTTAAGTAGGAGGAAAAAATTAAAGACGTGTAATACACTAAGTTCAAATCAAGAAGGCAGCAAACACCTCGATTGGTATAATAATAGATTACATATATATGTTATGTCTGACTTGTGTTGTCTAGAAGTCATGAGAGTATAAAACACTAATTTTAAATAGCTATATTTTAATTTAAAACTAAGGCTCAGAGTTTTAATATAATACTAAGCAGAACAAAACAATGATCAAAAATTTTGTGAATACATTTACACTTTATGCAGTCTAAGCAGTGATGTGTTGAGTATCCGAGTTACAGCTACAATCACAACATCCAATTTCTACTGCCTGTGTATTTCATTTCACAGGACTGTGAAAATGTAACTACTGTGATGTCAATATTTAGAAACGATCTGGAAGAGGTAGTGCACAGTGAAATCTTCAATATGACCATAAAACTAATGTTGCATCAACATAAAAGTGTTCATACTCACCAAGAAGCAGAACAATGACCACTAACTTTTCAGAATGCTCTCAGACAATTCACTTTAATTCAATATAAAAAACATGTATTGAGCACTGACTACATGTCTACTATGGTGCCAGATACTAGGGATGCAAAGATGAATCAGATCTCTGTCCTTCATGGAATTTACAGCAAGAAAAACAGAGACAATACATATAATACAATAATTGCATTACATTATAATATAGCTTTTAGAAGTGTAATGAGAACACATAAAAGTGAAAAGTTAATTCTATCAAACTTATACATGTGCAAACTTGCCTGATTATTATTATCTTGTTTTTCTTTCAATGTTACTGTTTTGCATGCACCTTTGTATTAATATGTTGCCTTAAATCCCATGGAGTAAGGGAAAGTATATATACATAATGAACATACTAACTCTGCTTGGGCAGAGTAGGACTCAGGGAAATAGAAGTTGCTAATGTATGAGCTGGACACGCCCAGGAAAGAGGTTTAGTAGAGAAGAAAAATGAACACTGAGGCAGAATGAATTACATGAGCAAAGACCCAGAGGCATGAAACACAGGGCACTTAAGTCATAAGGAGCAGCCTTGAGTGGGCACCAGAACAGGCTAAGTGCATGGGAACACACATGCAGACCAAGGCTGGAAAGGAATGCTGGAGCCAGGCTGTGAAAGCTTTGCATCATGCCACGTGGGGATGCGCTGACAGTTTTCTATAGCAAGGGAGAATCAACAGAGGCTGTTAGTCAGGAAAGCAGTATAATCAGATTTGTGATTTAGAAAGACAACCCTGACAACTCTGTGAAGGATGAACCAGAAGAAGGAGAACAGACAAAAAGACACTATAATCTTCTAGAAAGGGATCATAAGGAGAAATGATATAAGTGAAGAGAAATTGAATAATATGTGAGGACGCCTCAAAGGAAAAATACAGGCCATGGGGTCTGACTGAATCTTGGGAGCGAGACAGAAGAGAGAACAAGAAAGACCAGTGTTTTCAGTAGCATGAAGAGAATTAGGAACCACAGAATACTCCCTGGACCCTGGACTGAACCCTCATCTGGTTACTGCCTGATGCTTGAACATGCCCTGTCCACGGGGAAGCCCGAGTGCCAGGTCCAGGACCTTCCCTCTACCTGATGCTCTATAAGTGAATCTACCTGATACTCTGTAAGTGACTCTCAAGAAAAGACGAACAAGCTTCTGGTTTGTAGCAAAGGATCAGAGAGGTGTTGAGGCAAGTTTTTCACTTTGCTCAGATCACACAGTGCATTGTAGCATTTATAGATCAATGAAAAGCAAAGTTGAAACTTACAATTTGATTGTATAAAAAAAATACCTAATAGATGGACCTGACAATGAATAAGTCAGCTTTTAGAATAAGTTCCCAGTTGTTTCTTCAGTTGCTTTCTTGACATTATACTATTTAGCTTTAAATTAAAATCTATGTAATTCCACTGTTAGGGAACATCCATTCATTTTAAATTGTACATTTAGCAGGCTACTTACAAAATGTACATTATGACACCTATGCTCCAAATGTCACACTGCTGGCTATAGTCGTGGGCATTGATAACTTCAGGGGCTGCCAAACAAGCAGAAATAAAATAATATTAATAATACAATAAATGACTTTTAAATGCTTAAACACAAAGCATGAATGTGCTGATGTGATGTAATTTATTCCCCCATAGGGAAAAAGAGAACCAACAGCAGATGTTAAATGAATAATGTACAGGCCTTAACAATTGATGTCGCTGTATCCTCCCTCCTGTCATTTAGCTTCTAATGGAATGATGGCACACACTGTACAGCTAAATGTACTACTTTTCATCTCATTCAAATTGTTAAGAAATGATCTTGCAAAGCTCATGGAGTTACAGAAGGCAACAATATCTCAGTCTTTGCCAAAAATAGTATTGAAAACATGCCTTAAGTAGATATAATTTAAAGCAAGCCCAAAACATGGAAATCTGGATTTACAGAGAAACTAAGATAAATGGTTATAAATCACTTCGGCAAAATAACAGTAGTGATAGTAACTTCATAGCACTCCTATACTATAACAGTATGAATTATCTTCCACATTTTCTAAATGAGAAAACTAAGACAAAAAGAGAGCTCCTATAATATAACTCAATCAAAGAGCCAATTAGTCACAGGGGAGGCCTAGGGTCCAGGTATTTCTGACTCCTCAACTCCTGTGCCACTGACTTACAATGTGCCCATGATTGTTGTTATTGTTGTTTAGTTGCTCAGTGATGTCTGTCTTTTTTGTGACCCCATGGACTGTAGCCCACCAGGCTTCTCTGACCATAGGATTTCCCAGGCAGAATACTGGAGTGGGTTGCCATTTCCTTCTCCAGGGGATTTTCCTGACCCAGGGATCGAACTCAAGTCTCCTGTATTACAGGTGGTTTCGTTACTTCTAAACCACCTGGGAAGCCCTATGAAAGGATGTTTCATGTTGTCAAACACTTTCTCTGCATCTATTGAGATGATAGGGTTCTTTTAAACAACCTTTGCAAAGTAGAACTTTATTTTGAGGTAGCACATCTTTTAAAGATTCAGTTCAGTTCAGTCGCTCAATTGTGTCCGACTCTTTGCGACTCCATGAACCACAGCATGCCAGGCCTCTCTGTCCATCACCAACTCCTGGAGTCCACCCAGACCCATGTCCATTGAGTCAGTGATGCCATCCAACCATCTCATCCTCTGTCGCCCCCTTCTCCTCCTGCCCTCAATCTTTCCCAGCATCGGGGTCTTTTCCAGTGAGTCAGCTCTTCGCATCAGGTGGCCAAAGTATTGGAGTTTCAGCTTCAACATCAGTCCTTCCAATGAACACCCAGGACTGATCTCCTTTAGGATGGACTGGTTGGATCTCCTTGTAGTCCAAGGGACTCTCAAGAGTCTTCTCCAACACCACAGTTCAAAAGCATCAATTCTTTGGTGCTCAGCTTTCACATCCATACACGACTACTGGAAAAACCATAGCCTTGACCTTTGTTGACAAAGTAATGTATCTGCTTTTTAAAATGCTGTCTAGGTTGGTCATAACTTTCCTTCCAAGGAGTAAGTACGCATCTTTTAATTTCATGGCTGCAATCACCATCTGTAGTGATTTTGGAGCCCAGAAAAATAAAGTCAGCCACTGTTTCCACTGTTTCCCCATCTATTTCCCATGAAGTCATGGAACTGAATACCATGATCTTAGTTTTCTGAATGTTGAGCTTTAAGCCAATTTTTTTCACTCTCCTCTTTCTTTTTCATCAAGAGGCTCTTTAGTTCTTCTTCACTTTCTGCCATAAGGGTGGTGTCATCTGTATATCTGAAGTTAATGATATTTCTCCCGGCACTCTTGATTCCAGCTTGTGGTTCCTCCAGCCCAGCGTTTCTCATGATGTACTCTGCATAGAAGTTAAATAAGCAGGGTGACAATACACAGCCTTGACATACTCCTTTTCCTACTTGGAACCAGTCTGTTGTTCCATGTCCAGCTCTAACTGTTGCTTCCTGACCTGCATATAGGTTTCTCAAGAGGCAGGTCAGGTAGTCTGGTATTTCCATCTCTTGAAGAATTTTCCACAGTTTTCTGTGATCCACACAGTCAAAGGCTTTGGCATAGTCAATAAAGCAGAAATAGATGTTTTTCTGGAATTCTCTTGCTTTTACGATGATCCAGCGGATGTTGGCAATCTGATCTCTGGTTCTTCTCCCTTTTCTAAAACCAGCTTGAACATCTGGAAGTTCATGGTTCACGTATTGCTGAAGCCTGACTTGGATAATTTTAAGCATCTCTTTACTAGCATGTGAGATGAGTACAATTGTATGGTAGTTTGAGCATTCTTTGGCATTGCCTTTCTTTGGGACTGGAATGAAAACTGACCTTTCCCAGTTCCTGTGGCCACTGCTGAGTTTTCCAAATTTGCTGGCATATTGAGTGCAGCACTTTCACAGCATCATCTTTCAGGATTTGAAACAGCTCAACTGGAATTCCATCACCTCCACTAGCTTTGTTCAAAGTGATGCTTCCTAAGGCCCACTTGACTTCACGTTCCAGGATGTCTGGCTCTAGGTGAGTGATTACAGCATCGTGATTATCTGGGTCGTGAAGATCTTTTAATGATTAGATTTTTAAATAATGGCTGGGTTTTTAAAAAGTTGAATATGCTATTCCAGGAATATGTCTTTTACATCTCTACAGTTACGGAGCACCCCGAAGAGCCAACAGTAAATTAATACGGAGCTTCACTCCCACATTGTTTAAGGGTCAACTGTGTGCATTTGAATAGAAATTTAAAATTTACAAAGTACTTTTGCATCAATGATGCTATTTGTATAAATTATGTTAAGAATCACGTGAGATGGGTATACAGGCATTTGACTCACTTTCCCAGTGAGGAAATTAAGGTCCAGATACACATATTAAGTGACTCACCTAAAGTAACACAGTTACAGAGCATCTCCCATGTAAAAGGTGTTTTTACCTTAGAAAACAGTTTCAATCACCCCTCCCAACACACACACACACACACACGCACGCACACACACACACACACACACACACACAGTGTGTCTGTAGCCAGTAAAAGCAAATGAAATTTCATTTCCTCTACCTATTTTAAAGGAACTAAAAAGCAAGAAAAAAGGAGCTGAAATGTAAACAGAAGAAAGAATGAGAAAAGACTCAATTATAGATAATTAACAAACTGAGTAATTTGTCTTCAAATCGCTGAAAATTAACTAATTAATATTTTCCTTTAAGCAATTACTTGTATTCTTTAACCCTACTTAAACTTTTTAAATACTGAATCATAAACATTCAAGTTGCTCTATGGCCATGTGTCTATGACAAGGGCCAATTCCATGATCTGATTCCCTGACAGATTTCCACGTAGGTGTACCACACAGCGGGGGCCTGGAATTCAGAGCCCTCACTGTTTCAGAGTCATCTTAATTACCAGGGGCATTTCTACGTGCACTGTCATCACAGCTCTCACAGGGAGGCAGAGGCCAGAGCAACTGTGCCAAAGAGCCATTTAGGAAGTCAGCAAAGCCCCACAAAACATCTGTCTTCCCTCTTGTTCTCTCACTTGTTATCAGTGTAGACAACTAATAAGCAGGCATAAAACTCAGGATGCTTGGATATATTTTCCCCATGTAACTACAGACCAGATGTCTTTTGCCAACAGGAGGATATGAACAGAATCTAAAGTAGCCTCTTCCCAAATAAGACAAAACAACTTAGAAACTTTATGCATCAAATAGATAAACAATGAACCAGGCATACTCCTCAGGAATAAAAATGAATAAACTACTGATATAACAACACGGCTAAGTCTCAAAATCATTACATGGAACAGAAGAAGACAGACACAAAAGAATGTATACTTAAGATTCAATGTGTATAAATTCTAGACAAGCAAAACTAATCTAAGGCAATGGAACTCCTCAGTGGTTGCTAAGGTTTGGGTGGGGGACTGACTGTGAGGGACACAAGGAAATTTCTGGGGTGACAGAAATATTCTGTATCTTCACTGAGGTGGTAATTGTACAAGTATATATATTTGTCAAAACTCATTAAACTTCACACTTAAAAATCTGTGTATTTTATTATATACAAATTATGCTTCCATAAAGAATATTTTTAAGAAATCTACTAAAATTACAAAAAGAATCTACTAGAGCCCTACATTTGTGAGTGACTTTAATAACTCTCTTAGAAATCAACAGAGGAAGCAAGCAAAATTAATAATATGGACTGGTGGCTGAGATGAGAGAACTGAAGACTATGAGCTCATCGCCTCCCATGAACACACCAAAAATACTACTTACAGAGCAATTATCTATAGGAATGACCTGAAAACTAGCAGAAAAGAATTTTCCATAATTAAGACACAAAGTAGGAAGTACAAGAATACGGGAAGGAGGGGAGGAGACATACTACAGTTAGAACCTACATTTCCAGGTCAGTGAAACACAAACAGGAGGAATGTCACAATCTCAGAAGTCCTCCCCAAGGGGTGAGGACTCTTAGCCCCACATCAGGCTCCCCAGTCTAGGGCTTCTGCACCAGGAATATAAACCCCAAAACATCTGGCTTTGATAACCAGCAAGGCTTATATCCAGGAGAGCTGGAGTGCTAGAGGAAACAACAGACTTTGCTCTTCAAGGGTGCACACAATATCTCACACTCTGAAACCCAGCTAAGAGGCAGGAATTTGAAAAACAGGTCAGACCCAATTGCTGATCTTGGGAAACCTCCCAGGGAGGGAGGAAGCAGCTAGGACTCCCCCAGGGGACTGGCAGCAGCCATTGTGGGGAGTTCATTCTATCCCATGGACATTGGTGCTGGTAAGCACCATTTTGGTTTCCTCCCTCTAGCTTATTAGTGCTGGGACCTGCCCTACCCACAAGCAGGCACAAACCAGCCCCATGCCCCCTGGTAGACAGTTGCCAAGACCTGGCCCACCCACCAGCAAACTAGCACTCCCCTTTACCATGCAGCCATGTAGGCACCAAGCCTTGTACAACAGCAGGCCAACAGCAGGTGTACGCACGGCTTACACAGGCCATGCAGTTAAC